ATTACATTGCTTCCAAGTTATCTTGTACAATCAGAATGTCATGAAAAGTTGTTATACTAAGCTTGCAATTAGTTATCATTAAAATGCAAGTATGAAACTATCATATTTTCTATACAGATCAATGTCACAAGTGCTCTTTTTAGTGCACAACTAATTTGCCAGAAAAAAAGTTAAAAAATGCTTGACACTCAAGCTACAAAAATGCAGATAAAGTGAAAGAATTAAAGAAAAAGAACCAAGTAGTAAGAAGTGAAACTCAAAACAATGAAAACAAAACATCAACAACAACAACAAATAGAAAAACACACTTTGATTTTCAGAACAGAAACAAAATAAAATTCAATATTTCGAAAAAAGAACCCAGCAAAAGTTCAAAAGAAACCTAGCAGAACTTGTAAATCAAGAGCTGATCCACTAATTAAAATCTAATATTGCATGGGCATAAGAGCATCATTTCTTTGATTTGGAGAAAGTATAAAAAAAAAAGATAAAAACAATAAAATCCCAATCGAGAATCCTAATTGTATCATATATGTCAAAAGAATTAAAAAAAAAAAATCCATTAAACCCAACAAGAAATTGGATATTGTAACTTCAGACTTTCAAATATAATAATACGATTACAACTATGCAAAATTATCAAAAATTTACAAATAATGCTCCATGTACATTGTTTTCTTGACATCAAGTGTGACACCATGTGTAAATTCAAATTGTGTCTGGCGGGAAAGTGTGTTGTTTTTAAAAACTGTCAAGTGTGATGTTGTCACGTGGTACAATGTCAAATTTAATGTCAAAATTAGTATACTTGTAGTATGATTGATAGAACTTGACTTCAAGTTTGACACCTTGCGTAAATTCAAATTGTGTTTGGCGGGAAAGGGATGTTTTTATAAACTGCCCAATGTGATGCCACCACGTGGCACAAATACAAATTTGATGTCAAAGTTAGTGTACTTGTAGCATTGTTCAAATAAAGTGATAATCATCAAGAAACATAGATATGTATATATTTCCTACTCTTATTTTTTATGAATCGGAGTTATATTTCTAATTAGATAAATAGAAATCAATGACTATTTTAAAGGGCAACAGAAATAATAGTGTGATTGACTACCTAACCCACTGAATTTGCATGCAAGATTAAAGTACCTTTAAAACTTGCTCTACAAAATGGCCTTTGAGAGTAAGAAAAATATGAATGATCGGGCAGCTGCTAATAAATTAATATAGGGTAAATTCTCCATTAAATTACAGTTTATATCATGATAGCTGTTAGTCAACTGCAGCAAAATTCGTCATAAAATTCTCAGCCACAGTCAAGCAATGCTATCAACTACCTCAGGACAGGTAAAATTTATCAGTCATGTGCACCCTTGTACATTCACCTCTGCAAGCCACGTGAGTTAGTTTAGAGTTGGATTTTAGATTGTTCTGCTAAGAAAACAATCAGGAAACTTTTTCCTTATGTCGCAAGAAACAAGATCCACACAACGTAAAACAAAATAATGATAAACCATGTTTGGTTATCTTAAAAATTACTTTTCTATAAAATTACCGTGTACTCTGTAGAAGAGTTAGTTCAGTTAGTAAGAAATGTAACTTTGGAAATGATGTTTGCAAAATATATAAATTAAATATAAGTTTTATTTTTGCTAAAAATGAAAGCTAACTCTGTTCTCAAGAACCATTAATAGATAGATAATGAGATTATGGTTGAAGAAGGTTATAAAAATGATAATGAATGTTGAAACAAGTGGGAAAATCCAAAATATGAGAACAGGAAAATTTGGTGTGTTCCAGGTTTCTAACACTATGATTGAATACATTTTTAGTTCAAAAATCAAGAATTTCAAAAAGGCTCTGAAATTGCACGATCACTTTGAAATTCTACTGAAAGCATCCCAATAACTTTACAATTCTCCGCTTAATATTAAAAGCATCACTTCACACCTCATTTTACATTTGTAACTTTTAAACCCTAATCTATCTAAAAAGTACCAGTAGGGATGACCGTAATTCACTCTCCAGTAACAAAAGTGGAAGGGGGAAAAAAACCTGTTTGAGATCTTAACGAGACAAGTTGGACATGGCCAAGAACTTAGTAGCATCAGCTCCAGTGAATCGCTCATCTCCATCTGATTGTATAGAGTCATACACCATTTTTCAGAAATTGATTAGCAACTTATTGATAAGCAAGTGTTAAATTTGACTAAAAATCTAAAACTCAGTACCTGAATCGGCGATAGAAAACCATTCTTGATAGATCTTCTGGAGCTCTTTGGAGCACCGATTAGTGGGAGCCGAATCAATCTCCATTTTCAATTTGAAAAAGCCCCCAAAATTATCTGATTCTTATTTGAATTTCAGAGTGTTTGAACTTTAAATTTTGTGAAATTATTTTTTTTAATCACTCTACCTTTTTCTTTGTGGGAAAACCCAATCGTTTTGCCGACATAATGCAGCATAATAGTCGAATGGCAGAGCTTGTGCTCCGCAATATGCGGAGCATTGCGGACACTGCTCCGCAACGTTGTGGAGCTCGTGCTCCGCATTATGCAGAGCAGTGCGGAAACTGCTCCGCAGTGTGCGGAGCATTGCTCTGTACACTGCGGAGATGATGCTCCGCATGCGGTGTGTGGAGCATCATCTCTGCACAGTGCGGAGCAATTGATTTTTTTTCTTCTTCTTCTCTAGCTGCACGAAAGAATTAAGTTTGATTCCCTTCCTATATGTACGAACAAAAGAATTCCAACGAAACATTCATGCAATTACAACACTTTTTTTATTCCAATTAAATAACATCACATCAGAATTAACTAAATTTTCTTCTTCTTCTCTAGCTGCATGAAACAATGAAGTTTGATTCCCTTTCTGTATGTACAACTTAAATCTTAACACGACAGAATTACAAATAACAAATGAAACGTCATTAGCGTATCAAATATTAATGGTATTGTGAAACGTCGTTAAGTTTTTATCTGCCACGAATTCATTATAAACTGTAGTCCGATGGGTGCTACTCAACACAAAATGAGAGCAACACAATAAGCCTCCAACAGTTTCTGTCAACATCAGTCTTTAAAGTCGGAAATTATGGAACTGATAAAAATAAAAGGTCCCCTCTTTTTTCAGTTTCAAATCAGGCTTTGAATGAGTAAAAATGATGTTTAATGCAATCGTCCGAGTATTTTACGATTCACAATGGCTGCATTTCTGACCAATTGTGTGGAAGTGAACCTCGGTTGTGTCATTGCAATCATTGCACAAAATTCAAACCTGCGAAATTTAAACATATCAGATGAAGTTCAGTGCATTGTGACATGCTTGGTAAGTTAGATTAGACCACAAAATAAAATAATTTAAAATATTTTATCGTATACTGTCCAAAACGATCCAAAACTGCATGCTAAACATACACGTAGCAATCCAGAAGGGCTGCAAGTACCTTTTTATATCTATACTAATTGGGCATGACAGTCCCTTCTATCTGTAAACATGCAACATTTTCATACAAATTTAGTTTAATCGACCAAGCAAATGATAATTTGGGGGGGGGGGG